CATTGAAATCGCCCTAATTTTCATATAAATTCTATTATGAATAGAGTATTACTTTGACAACAATAGGACAGACATGTGAGTGCACTGATGAGGCGCGTTGAGACTTATGGACGAGCCATCGATCCCTCAGATATTTGTTCACTTCAGTGACCGGATAGCGTTTCATTGGCTTCAACTCCATCAGTCGTCTCATAAGCCGCAGAAGTCGTGGAGAGAATACTCTGAACTCTTTGGGAGTTCGGGTAGTCTTGCGTTTCTGCCACTCAACAAATTCGGTGAATTTCGGATCAGTTATGTCTGCCTTATCCCATGGAAAGCGAGTGGTGAGACACACGTAGACCATCATTGCCAACTGCCACACATCGCTCCCGATCTGTATGTTATAGCCCTCTAACAGCACCGCTTCCCACACTTCCGGCGGACACGACGGCAATGACTTCACCCTCTTCTTCACTAATCGTATCAATCATTTGAACAATAAGTGAATAATTGTCAACATTTAGCACTCATGTCTTCATGCCTTACCTAAAGTGCCTACTTTTCGTGTTAAACCAAAATCAGTTAATTTGACTTTTGTTAGATTTGGAGAGTATATTAAGATATTTTCAGCACTAGTTATATAAGAAATGAAAATTGATGTTATATTGTGTGAAAATAATTGTATATTTGAATGAATGAATGAAAGTGTATGCGACCACTATTACCGGACGTCCCGGTGAACCAATTCCTTGTCGTGCATGAACTCCAGTGCAGAACAAATCTGTTCGACAACTAACACACAAATTGAAGCCATTTATAAGAAATGGTCGAAACTATTGACAATTCAATGTAAATGCAAATGAATACCAATTTTCACGTCGCGTTCATTGAGTCCGACGCCGTTTGTTCTCTCGACTGACTGTCAGTTGTGGTGAATATGTTTGAAAAAGTTATAAATTGTGTTACAAATAAAGAGTTGAATCTAAAGTTTGCTCTCAATTATAGAATTGGTTGAAAGGTTGCAGACCTGCCAGAGATCACCAAACGGTGCCATTTCTTGAGCAAAATAGTAGTGTTCGGAG